TGCCTAAAATACCACCTTTTTTTTTCCTTTTTTTGTTTTTACAGTCCTGGATCTACTCACTGGCAGCCTAGCCTAAGTGGTCACACATCCCAGAGCTTGAGAGATTCTAAAAGAACAGCTCCATAATCACCAGACTGCTACTATGCCTCAAAGTCTCTGCATTACAGTCATTTCATAGGATTTAGGCATCAATGATATAAGGCAGTGTGATATAATGAAAGAGTATAGACATTAGAACCAGTAAAATTTCACTTTGTAGCCAGACTTCATCTATTCCCAAATTTGGGTATTAAGTTATCACATCTTTAAAATGGGGCCATAATACTCACTTTTGAAGAACTATTAAATGGGTGCTTATTACACTCTACAGTCACCAAAAGGGGTAATGTGCTTGGGGTGCCTGGCACATAATAAGCACTTAATGGTAGTTCTTACCATCATTAATAATCCCTTATACCCATTAGCCCGTTGTCACAGAGCAGAACCTTGAGGGTAGCAAGGAGCCAACACTTTTGAGAGGATCAGAGAAGTTCAGTAACTTGTTCAAGGTCACACACCTAGTGAATAGCTGAGCAAATATCTGAACTCAGGTCTCTAACTCTAAAAGTCCAGATTCTTGCCTCAGAAACCTGCTACCTATTCTTGTATGTACGCAGTCCAGAAGAAAGCAGTAATTTGACAGCCTAAATGACTCAGATAGCTTTGGAAAAAGTCAGCCCTGAAAGTTTATAATCATACTAGTAGCCCAGTGCACAAAATTCATGCACTGAGGTGGGGGGGGGGTAGGGGCCCCTCAGTCTGGCCTTCACCCTCTCCAATCTGAGACCCCTCAGGAAATATCTAACTACCTGTTTGTGCCCAAACTTTTAACAGAAAACAGCTCCATTGTTTATTTCTTATGCTTAAAACCATTGGAATTAGTAGGTATTCAAAGTGTGTATACATTTTGGGGGGACACCCTGTATATCTCTAGTCAGTGGTGAAAGAAACCAACAGAAGATTTGGA